AGTGCTGGTGCTGCAGAGCCTGAGCCACATTACCATCTGGCTACTCTTGGTGTTGGGGACCTCTGTCCTGGCCATGCAGCTGATGGAGTTCTTCTACGGCATCACTATGGCTGCCCGCATTGCCTACTCCTCCTACATCTTCTCTCTCGTTGCCCCATCCCGTTACCAGCGTATGGCCAGCTACTCCCGCTCTGCTGTCCTCCTGGGCGTCTTCACCAGCTCCGTGCTGGGCCAGCTCTGTGTCACCTTCGGTGGTGTCTCCTTTCTCACCCTCAACTACATCTCGTTGGGCTTCGTCAGCTTTGGCCTCATCCTCACCCTCTTCCTCGAGCGGCCGCGGCGCAGCCTTTTCTTTAATCGGCCCGAGGGGGCTTGTGACAGGGCTGCACCCACCGAGCTGGACAAGATGGCCACAGGGCACAGTGGTGGGGGAACGCGGGGCTGGCGGGGGATGGTGCTGTGCCGTATGCTGCGGGAGGTGGGAGCATTGACTGGGCAACCCCAGCTCCGGCTCTGGTCACTGTGGTGGATCTTCAACTCTCCCGGTTACTACCTGATGCTGTACAATGCGCATATCCTCTGGAATGAGATCTCCTTCCCCATGGACAAGCGATGGGTGTACAATGGAGGAGTGGACGCTGCCTCCACGCTGCTGGGTATGCTGCCCTGGGCTGGGGGGACACCTCCATCCAGCTGTGTCCTCTGGGAATGGCTGGCACTACCACGGATGCAGGGGGGCACACCCGTCACATTGCATCCTCTGGGAATGGCTGGGGACACAGGGGATGCAGGGGAACAACCCCATCCTGCCTCGTAGCTGGGAATGGTGGTCCTTATGGCATTTTTGGGGATGCAGGGGGTGGTCTGGTGGTGGTGATGAGATGAGCGTCATCAGGGTGGGGGATACAAGCTGGTCCCACACTGGTGAGGTGTTCACCACATCCTTCATCCTCTCCCCAGGTGCTGGTGCCTCCTTTGCTGCTGGCTATATGAAGATCCGCTGGACGCTGTGGTCGGAGCTGGTGATCGGGGTGGTGACAGCTTTCCAGGCAGGGCTGCTCCTGCTCATGAACACCACCTGCAACATCTGGCTGTGCTATGCCGCCTACGTCCTCTTCCGCGGCTCCCACCAGTTCCTGGTGCCCATCGCCATGTGCGTGGTACCCCTGAGGACCTGCTCCTACCCTGGCAGCTGGGCTGGCACCAGGGTCTCACCTAGTTCCCCCTCTCTATCCCAGTTTCCAGATCGCTACCTCCCTCTCCAAAGAGCTCTGCGCACTGGTCTTCGGTGTCAACACCTTTTTTGCCACTGTGCTGAAGACCATCATCACCATCATCGTGGCTGACAAGAGGGGCTTGGGCTTGTCTGTGCATCCCCAGGTAAGGATGAGGGGCAGCTAGGATGGAGGTGGTCCCCTGATGGTGTGGGGTGAAGGGGAATCAAGCATTGCTCTCTCCTCACCTCTCTTTCAGTTTAATGTGTATTTCGGCTACTTCACGCTGCTGGCGGCTGTCTACCTGCTGGCGGCCATTGGCGACGCGCAACCCCCCGGGCCGAGCTGGCCTGGCCCAAGGAGCCGTGCCAGCCCCTCACCGAGGCGCTGGCACCAGAGAAGAGCCCGGAGACAGGCGATGTGCGAGCCTGAGCGCCAGCACTGCGACCACCGCAACCGGTCTCAGCTCAATAAGCAAACATCACCATCACCACGTGCTTCATCTCCCATCCCACCGTCAGTCCTCGGGGCTGGCCCGTTGAGGACATAACCCTTGGGACCCGTTTTCTGCTCCATGGGGGGTAGGGGCTGTGCCCTCCCCCCGGCCAAAACCAGAGCAGGGTTAGGATGCCCACAGCTGCCTCCACCAGGTACCACGCAAGGATACAGATGAGGTCTGGGAGGGTCTTCCAGCCACTGGTTCCCCATCATTGCACAGAGCCAGGCTACAAGAGGATAACGTTTCTTTATTCAGTGCCTTTAGAAAATGGTTTATAGGACACAACTGACAAAAAAATATAAAGATCCACAGGCTTTAAATTGCATTAATTACACAAAATACAGTAGACTGTAAGAAATAGAGATCGTGTGACTTGCACAGCTTTTATGGTAATAATTTCCATACAATAATAAAAAGCTAGTTACAAATTTCTCTCTTTTTCTCTTTTTTTTTTTTGTTATTTAGCACCTGGATTTGCCCACACTAATTCAAACCAGCTTTGCTGCACCTTAGCCCTTAGAGCGCAGCAAAGGTGGCCCAGGGACGGGGGGGTGATGGCAGTGCCTGGCACCACGTGTTTTCAACATGCACACACACGTAAACACACACTAAGGGCACACCTGGCCCCACGTTGGGGCCACCCCATTGCCTTTCCCCACGCTGGCCTGAGTGTGGCTGTACCTGGGAGGGGGGGGACCAGACCCCACTGAGACTCGTCAGCTGCTGGCTGTGGGGTGGAGGTGAGGATGATGATTGGGGTAGCTGGGTGGGATGGTCCTTACCTGGGGAGGATGGCCACCATCTAGGGGTTACCCTGGCACCACCACAGGATGCTCTTCTGCTTGGGTGGGTTGCCAGGTTTTTGACTGGAGAAGACCCCATGAACCTCACAGTGGATATTTGGGTCCACCCGTGAGCTCCTGGCAAGGACAGTGCAGGGCTGGGGGGGTCAGAGAAACCCTCCAAGGCTTTCCGGGGTGGCACACTACATGGAGTGCTGAAGTCTCCCTGCCAAACATCCTCCTGCCCAGCAACCCTGGAGAGAGCATCCAAGTGGGTGTTGGATGCAAGCTGAAGTGGTTAAATATTAGGGGTTAGAAGTGGAGGGAGAGGAGGAGGAGGAAGGCAGCCAGCCCATGGGTGCCCTGCCCTGGGTGGGACACAAGCCCCTGCCAACCCAGGGCAGGGGCTATGGCGATACTCTTTGGCTTCAGGTCTGTGGGAGGAGAGAAGAAAACCCTGCGAGGCATGAGCAGGAGCTGGAGGGGGCTGAGGACCACGGGAGTGCCGGGGTGCAGGCTGGCCCGACCCTCCCCAGGGAGACATGGGGTACCCAGGGGACGAGGCGAGGGGTGGAGGGGAGAAGTTGGTCACTTTTTGGCGGCAGTCATGAAGCTGTTCTCGATGCAGAGGACGATGAAGGTGTGCTGGCAGCCGCTGGCTGCC